GATTTTCCGAATAAAATAAATATTTTGGTAGCCTTTGATAGACTTAAGCTTGTTTGAAAGATATTTTCGAAGAATAACCTCGATATAAATGGAATATTATTTTATGTGATCAAGTTTGGTTCAGGTAAAAAAATGAACAATTTTTCTTTGCTGTCATACTTAATTGAATTTCTCCTATCCATTCTTCGTCTTCGTCATCTTTTTCTTTTTCTGCTTCTTCCTGTCTCTTAAGTGCTTCTTCGTCTATACTAGCCAAGTCCTCTTCTCTGGGAAATGGTCTATGCTGCATGCTATAGGAAATTAATACTTTAAGGTAAATTCGTGAAAAGGCAAAATAAGCTACTCATAAAAAATATCATACTAATATTTCTTGACTAGAATGTCTTGATGGGAAACAAATTCTTGCTTGAAAGTAGTGATTTCGGTATATAGTCTGTCAGGAATTTTCGGAAGTACTGCTTCACTAATTACACCAGCTTGACCACAAAGCAGTAATATCCTTTCCTAGTAATCAAAAAGCAATGTTTTAAATTAATGTTCAATTATCGGTAATGTATATATGAATCACGCAACACGACTTACTTCCTTTGGTTTCCAAGTCATAAATGCGACGTTGTTAGGCGTTTCTATAAAACCTAATCTCCTAAGAGTAAATGGAGTTCCCATTTTCAAACGATACATGAATAAAGTGGTGTCTTCCCCACACGTTACTAATATCGTTCTTGGATCATTTATTGTAATTTGAGTTATAGCTTTTGAATGAGGCTTCAGCAGCTGAAAAAAATTCGAAGTAAATATCACTTTCACGTTAACATTTTTAAACTTATGAAATGCTTTACCTTTCTATAAGGCTAATATAAAAATTTGCTTTGATCATGTTACCGATATAAGATCTATAACATCAGCATTAATTGAATCTTCGCTGTGGATTGTTAGTGCGGAATGTACGCGAACTTCAATTAAAGTTGACTGAGCCAGGAGACGTTCAGGGTGTACTAGGATTGTTCTCATAATGCCATCTGCGAATCCTAGTAGTAGAATTCGAGAAGTTGGGTCAACCTGATGAAGGATATACGTTTCGCTTATATTTTACTTTTGTGCCTTTACAAGGCATATATAAAAATTCTTAGCTTGATTCAGATAAACTTCAAATTGGTTTTTCTTACATCTAATGGTGGATATAGCATACAGGTTATAGGAGTTTGGAATTGATATTTTGCCAAAATGTCATGCGTCTCTGAATTATATGCATGAAGAGCTCCATCTTCCCCCGCAGTTATAAGGATAGGATGAGAACGTAATGCAGCCATTGCTACTATCCCACTCGCATGAAAAGTCATGACCTTGCGATGATTACATTCGAGCTTATCTATTTCTAAATCGGTTGTCCAAATACCGCCGTTTCCGTCCTAAAAAAATATATTTTTTTATCATTTCATTGTAATATTACTAATATATCCTATATTAACTTACTTGAGCGTAATAATACATGTCTTTCTGATGTTTCAAACACATTATTTTACATCCAGGAACCTGAAAAAGTAAAAAAAACAAGTATTATTTTATACTATAAATTATCAAAATTGCAACAAAAGAAAAATTCTTGCAACTGACATATGTCTCTGCAACTGGATTTAGTTCTACAAAGGGGTCTTCTTCTGGAGGATCAGCTTGTTCCACTGTATCCCAGTACCAGGCACGAACGTAACCGTCTTGACTTATAGTTGTAACTTCATCACCAGCCGGACTCAGCATGAATTGCACCTGGCACCAAAGCAATTTAGATTAAATAACCAATTGATTTAGACCTCCATAGTACTTTCACAAAATCATTACCACTGGCGCTTTGTGGCAAGTTTTTCTGCCGCGTTGTGTAACTTCCAACTTAACCAGGCCAGCTTCCCATACTAAAATATTACCCCATTCGCAGCCAGATAGAACCTTTGTACAAATAAAATTTAGGATTAATTCATTTGATTTAATTAGACTTTTGGCATAATTATAAAGCATAATATTTCTGGAAACGGTTAATTAAATAATGTTATGTATTAATGAAGTTTACTTTTTCGTCTGGCATAGGATATACTCCAAGAACATCACAAATTTCTGTTTTGCCAAATCTGCCGAGTTCGCCTTTTAACTTTAGTCCAGTAAATGTTTCTGCCATTTTCCAGTTTTTAATATGCGCCGCTCCTAATAAATAAAAAAAGCACAACACTCTTAAGACATTTTGAAATTTAAGAGGCTCTATTGTTGAAAATATTGTGCTTCATACCTGCAGTAGTTAGTTGCCCCGGGCAGTATGGCGAAAACATAACAGTATTCACATCGAACGTAAAGGCGCTTGAACGTAAAAGAATCCTGTGTTTCTTCCAGTTCCAAATTGTTAAATTGTAGTCTGGGGCCTTACCTACCGAAGCCAAGAGTTCACCATCTGGACTATTTTATATATTTTTTTATAAATATATAATATTCTGCATCGGTTTTGAATCGAAAATGTATTTTATTTATTAGCACCTGAAGTCCAAAATCGAATAAGCATTGGCTGTGCCATCTCGCAGTACAGCATCAATGTCCATTTGTGGCCAGATGTAAAGTAGAATTATTGGATCAATATCACCTTCTCTGCCTTCAGCTATGGCTATACGGTAATTAGGATCCTGCCTGTAGGACTGAATTGAAAAAGTAAGATTCAATAATAAATAAAGTATATTTATTTCTAGTTATTTTAATTAATTATTTATAACTTATAATTAAAGATGCTACTTGTCTTTTTGGCTAATTATACTAATTTTTTTCCTTACCACTTTGGCTTCTTAAATGTTGTTTAACTTTTGTTACCGTACCTCACAAAAACCACTAGAGAATTCTTAGGAAATTAAGAGTAAATAAATACATAATGAGATTTAAGATTTTCGCGAGTACTCATTTCAGTAAAACTAATATTTTCGCATTTACTATACGATTTTTTATTTTTGACTATAAACTACATACTCCCGACGTTTCGGTTACTTAACAGTAACCGTGATCACGGGCGGACGAGATGTGAGTGTATGTCAGTCGGTCTTGTTGAAATCGATGGCGGTAGGTGAAAAAAAAAACAAGACTGACTGACAGATACTCGCATCTCGTCTGCCGGTGATCATGATCAGAAATACTGTTATTATTTGGAAGACAAAAAACGAATATTTTTAGATTATAGCACATCAATATGTCAATTGGCAAGAAAAGTACACCGCTATTTAAATAAAACAGATTCCTGCATCTGATTTCGATGACTAAGATTATGACCGTGCATTTATGACTTTGTATAACATTTTAATTTTGAGACCTAATTATATATAAAATAAAACTAGTTTACATGGACCAAAATATTCGAATTCTAGCAAACAGAATAAACTGTGTTCTTTTTTACCGTGAGGGCGCCTACGGAACCTCCAGTTGTAGATCTTCGAAACCAAATTTGTTTCGTATTAACATCCATAAAAGTGATTATACTTCCCGCTGCCCAGCAAACAACAGCATCGTCGCATGCGCACAGATTGAAAAACTTCTGACAATTGTATCCATATGAATATCTTAAGCATAATAGGAATTATAATTTTTATTACATATGAACATATAATTTTTGCCCATTTAGTATTTTAATTCATGCGGTTATATCCATTCGATTATTTCAACAGATAATAAATCGTAGGATTTTCTCCACATGTCGAAAATGAATACATAAAAACTGAAAAAGGATACTCGAATTCAAATAAATCCAAAGGTATTGTAGAATCTAAAGTGTTTACTGCACCAGACAGAAAATCATCTGGATCATATTCGGTTAGAACCGACTCCGCTTCTATTGATTCTTCTTCAACCACTTCAGGTGCAGTTTCTCCAAAAAGTCCTTCTATCCTCACAAAGAAAGAAAAACTTTAGTGTAATTCAGAGTTAACGGAATGGCTACCTATATCTTAAGCTATTACAATATAATTCAAATGTCAAAATCCCGATCTCGAATTATAATATTTTTTCTAAGCTACACTTTGTGCGAAATTAAGCATTAATAGTTCAGTGCTAGGAGTCAGGTCTAGTTACTTTTTTACAATATTATGGTCTTGAATATGCTTGGTATTAATATAAAATATAAAGATAATTCTTATACCTTCACCAACATGTTCACCGAGCTCTTCGTCAGCCATTGTAATGATAAATTATCTTTTGCAAGTTTCACAGTGAATAGGACTTACAATGTGGTAAATAAGGAATAATCAATCAAATTTATTGTTGTTGCTTGGTAACGACTTTCATGCTTTTCACTTGATTATTATTTATTTTAGAACTGTTTGAATAGTCAATCATAAAAGAAAAGTTTATTTAAAAAGTAAATTTTTGTAACATATTTCGAAATTGTGATATTTATATATATTTTAAATAATAAAACAGTATATTTTCAATACAACGTCTAGTTTTTAGACTTTTTGAAAAGTTAATTAATAATATTATCATAGTATATTACTCTATAAGAAATAGTTCATGGAGGTATTGTAGGGCACTGTTTGGGTCATAAAAATACACATAGGTCATATATTCCCTTTCATGTCTTCAACAACCAACGAAGGAATGCATTGGTTTAATTGTAATATTTAAGGAAAAATAATTTCACAAAGTATAGATATGATTTTGTTTTAAAAAAGATCATGAATTCCCTTAATATACAAGAAACAAATATAGGATTTAATGAGTTCAATTTTAGTAAGAATGAATTAATTGCACAAAAATTTATTAATGGCAGCACACAGTAAAATGTCAACCTGTGACGCTTTACTGTCATATCATGAGTATGACAAACCTTGCAGAGTAAAATCAGAACAGAAAATATAACTTCGTGGTTCATCGGGTGCAACAGTTTAAAAAAATATTAATAACACATAGTGAAATATGTTTTTGAAATGTGATTTCTAAACTTTAGACTATGATCTCGGACTAAGTTTTTGAAAAGAAAAGTAGAAATGTCTCAACCTCACCGAAAAGCTGTGCTTAATTTATATAAAACGGTAAGTCATGATATTGTTTTACTTGTACAAACAGAATATGCAGTTTCTATATCATATGTTTGTTTTTCAGCTTCTATATTTAGGAAGAGACTGGCCTCAGGGTTCTGATTTGTTCAGAAAACGTTTGCATAAAGTGTTTGTAAGAAATAGTGAGGAAAGTGATCCAGTAAAGATAGAATCGATGATAAAACATGGGCAATTTGTTGTAAAAGAGATCGAAGCTCTCTACAAACTTAAGAAGTATAGGGCAATGAAGAGAAGGTACTATGACGACAATTAACAATAAAAAAAATATATTTCTACAATAGCAGTAGGTACATGTTTTTCTAAACTTGTATAAAAGATTGTAACAGTGTTGCATAATATAAACTTGCTAATCATGTAATATTTGGTTCTTTGTAAAACAAACTATATTATAGAATTTTGTTATCAAAAATGAGTCTTAAATAACATGTTGACAGGTCAGGCATATAATGATAAATTCTTGGTTATGACAACATATGTTTAATCTCTCAACAATGGGTGTAATAAATAAATAAATTTGTTTATTGTTCAAATAACATTTTAATAACATTAATGTTATTCAATTTGCCTTATTATATGTATTTGTTTGCATGTTCAAGTATACTTTTCTAAATTACCTAATATATGAAAACAATCACTAAAACTTTATGAATAAAATGGGGTTTAAAATCCTGTAATGTAAATATGTAAATGTTACCAATGTATCAAATACACAAAATGAAACTATGAAATTCTATTTTATTTTGTATTATAGACTTTTTCACGATTCTTGTAATACATTACAATAAACTATTAAATAATAATCACTAAAAGACATCTATTTAAAGTTAAACTCATGAATAACTTTTAACTGGCAAGTGATATGATGTTTTGATGATTTCTTTATCGAACATTATGTACATGTGAGTTATACTGACAATTTTTCAAAAGAATTTTTTAAAATATACATATATTTTGAAAATCATTGTCATTGAGAAACAAAGAATATTAGTTTTGTGACATATTTAAAACACAGGTTGCAGCAACAACATAATTTATGAATTATCTTTAAATTACATTATATAATAAATAGCAGCATCCTTTAATATATTGTCAACACTATGTTACTTGTCCGGATGTTTACCGATCAATGGGAGCACTTGCCTTTTCATAAATCTACCAAAATTGCAGTTACACTGTAGCATTACGCTATACAAACTATATTTAATGTAACTATTTATTGATAAATACAGTATTCAACCGTCAAGTCTACTTGTTTTTGTGTTAGTGCACTTACATACTTGAAGCCTGTCACTTTTACTCCTACATCAGTGATGGTGAAATTTAACATGTGATTACATTATATACATTAATAACATACATGTTTGAGATCAACAACAGTCAAGCAAATAGCTAATGTATAGATTATATTTGTCACACCAAAATTAGAGGGCTTTAAATATTCTAATTACTAACTTTTTTTTTTACAACAAACAAAAAAGAAACAATCATTATCTATTCCAAATTTTTGTAGCATGATTATATAATGTTTACTTTAAGATATATTTCTTTTAGTAAATATAAGAAAAAATATAATTTAACAGTTATAATATATTTAATAGAATTACTTAGGTTCTAATCCTCTATTGACATTACTTAGAAGGACTATAAGTTTTAACATTGTTTGAAAATATCGGAGCAAACATATTTAGCAACAAGATATACAAACTCTACTAATATCGTGATAAATATAGTTATTATTACGAGTGTATATTACAATAATTATTTAGATATAATAAATTATTCTTCTACATTATAATATTTAACGCAGAAAACAAGTCGTTGATTAACAGCTTGGAGTAACTAGCGCTTGGCAATAAATATGCGCCTTTTAAGGAGATTTACATTCATTGAAAACACATTTTCATGAAAATCCCATAGTTCCAGGTTAAATTGTAGTAATTGTCATGAAAAACAGAATATTATAATAGATAGATACCAAGGTAGGCCAATAGTCCCTCTAAAGACGATAGGAGAACATAAAAAAACGTCAAAAAAGAATATTTATCTACAGTTTTAAAACAACTCTTCTTTAGAGGAACTTATAATTTACTTAAAATGTATCGAATTCATAACACTTACATGGTATTAAAATAGAATGTAATAAATTTAACAGGACTCAAATTATTTACATAGTTTTAATATAACATTTAGGTATGTAGCTTTAAATGAATATAATAAGAAACAATTTAAACAAAACGGGTATTTTAATCATGAATGAAACCTATTTTATTAAAATATATTTGTGGGTTTCCTCAAAGCTGTTGTAAAAATTCATAAAGTAAATCCTCCTTACACGATGCCTCAAAATATTTAAATTTTGTTTTTATCACCAATATTAGGTAGATTTGAAACTAATGTTACTTCAAAAATAATCTAATATATCTATTACAACTGCAAAAAAAACAATAGATAGATAGACATCAAAATTAAATCACTCTCGAATGAGTAAGGCGTTGATTCTTCATAGATCTTCCTCGATGTAAAGTCTGAAAATAATTTTTCAATACATTTAAGCCGTGTTATACGACAAATTTCCTACTGTGATTTTGCAGTGTTTGAAACTGAACTTTGACATCTTGTAGAATATCATTTGATAAAAATCATTGCATTTTATTATTTGAATTATTTCTGGCATTAACTTAAAGACGTTTAGTGAAAATTAGGTATAATTTATTAGAAATTTATGTTCTGTTGAGGGAGCGTTCAAGTATTACGTATCGCAATTTTCGAAGATTTTTGACCCCCCCTTCACCCCTCGTAAGGCATAGTAACGTTTTTCTGTAGCCCCCCCCCCTTCTCAAAACGTTACGTAACACTCAAGTGATCAATTTCATCCGAAGTTTACGACTTTACAAACAATATGTAATACTCGTAGTTTGGTATAGTTTTAATCTATTAAATGACAAAGATCATTGACACAAATCTCCCTCTTCTGAAGAAATTACAGTATGAACACTATGAACTCACGGATAAACACTAACGAATACTGTCCACGGAAGCAACATTAAAAGACTTACAATGCAATCTAGGTATTCCCCGTAAAATATCAATTAAGAGGTTTGCAAACTTGGGAGAACAAATAAAAAATATCGACCAGACTAATACAATCTGGTCAACATAATGTAACGTATATGAAAAGAGGTGCCAGTTTGGGGGTTTTTATTAATATTTTTTTTAGAAACTATGCTACGTAACTTTTTGTAAGAGCCACCCCCTCCCGCCCCTGTAAGGCATCGTAACGTTTTACGAGACCCCCCCCCCTGTCCCAAAATTGTGTTACGTAATACTTGAACGCTCCCTGATATACATTAATCTGGAATTTCTTTACATGTATGGTCATGCTAAGAAGGTGGTAAAAACTTTTAAAAAATGGCGCCATATTAGTTGTTAACGCCAATATATCATCGAGGCAGTATAAAAACCATTTTACATACTTTTTTACCGCCTTTTAATCCTTCTTCTCTCCATCTTCGGGATCTTTGAGCGTGTGCCATTGCGCGATTGGGCGACGCGGGCTGGCCAGCATGTCGGACCAATGACGAAGCTCGGTTCCTGACGCGTTGTATCCCAGCACAACCTTACCAATCGGTTCAGATGTGCCGATGCGATCGTAGTCCACCACAGTTACGACTAAATTCACCTTCTGTTGTTTTGTTTTGTTAGTAGTCAGTTAAATATATTTGGTTAGTGTGATTGAATTAACATGATTAGCGTTAGGCCTATTGAAAGCGTAATGTTTTTATGAAATGGCAGGGTGTACTAAACTAATTGTATGGGAACTATGAAGTAAGATAGCGTCATTCATCATTTTAGTGTAATTGTATGTTGTATTAAAATATTTCCACATGGCGAACAATATTTCAAATATCAAATAAAACATACATACTGAATTTATCAGTCCCAAAGATATAGATAATATTGATACTATCAGTTTTCAGAGCTCATTATTTCTTTTATTTACAAACACTTTTATCTTACTTGACACATGACGTAAACACTTACCTTCAAATCAACTGATAATGACATAGGTGTAAGGAGTGAGGTTATTAAGAGGTTTGAGATAAGGAAATATGTGATTATGAAATTGATAAAAGATCCACAAGAAGAACAAGAGGCAGGGTTCCTGAAAACCATATGCTCAGGTAATTACAATTTGAAGTCACCAAGAATGCAGTTACGAGGGGAGATTATATAACACCACCGTGGCAAGTTGGATATTATGGTAATGTTATATTATCAGAGCAATACAATTAGATGTATCACTGGATACAGAACCTTTAACTGAAACCACGTTACAGTTGAAGGTCGAAATATACATAGGATAACACCTAAATGCTTGGTTTGATAAATATAACTGGGGAACGGGAATAAAGTGTCCTGGAGACACAATAATAGGTGAATAGAAGGGAAAGAGAAGTATAATAGAAGAGAAGATTGATTTCTAGCATAATAGTCTTCTCGCTAGAATATATTTGTTTAGGTATGGATAAAGTAAAGGTGATAGTGGTGTAGGTCCTCATTCACAACAATAACACAACATCGATTGCAAATTGCTTGGTCATATTTGAATGAAGAAAATAATGTTTACGATTTCTATATTTAGACGCGTCAAATTTTTTAGGATATTTATTTTCATCATTCGCCACGTGTCCACGCAATTCGCCACAACATTGAATTTGGAAACAATCTCGGCTCGCACCTGTATTTGTTCGAATGGTACTTCAAAAGTAAATGACTCGTTGTAATATGGATTCAGTGTGCATTTCTTGATGCTCGTTTTCTTCTTCTTGAGACGTTTGCCATTTTGCATGAGTGCTATCTTTACGTACGGATCTGTTGTCGGCAGCGATGCATCCGGATATGAAAAAGGGAGAATAATATTTTAGTCTAATTTTCTTTAATTATTTTTCCAAAATACGAATAAAAAATTCACGCCTTTTTATGAATCTAGATGAAGCTAAGAGTATATTAATAAACTATTAATTATATTTATGAAAAAATTATAGTACAAAAATACACATTCGTTTCGTAGTTCTTGTTCAATAGAATTGCTCTAATTAATATTTAGTGTTGAATGTTAGTATGGATGAGGTATTATTATGCGGTGCTAATGCTACCTGTCTAGACTGACAAGCATAAAGTATTTGTTATGTACATTAATAGATAATCTATTATTAATAGCATAGTGCGTGCATTTATCAATATCTGTGTGGCAGCGAATAGCGTCATGACATGTATATGTTGCTGTAAAGTATCCTAATCACTAAATGTATATTTTAAGCTATATATAGCATTATTGAAATTTATTTCTTGATCCAGCATATTCTAAACATGCAAATTGTTAAAAAATCTGTGTGAGCAGTATAGCGGTAAATAAGGTAGAGATATACGAAGAAAGTTACCCTAAAACTCCTGAAATTAGACAAAAGGTTTAGAAGTGTTTTATATACGTCTAATTCTAATAATGAATAAGGCTTTTCTCGTACCTGACAAACCACCGACGTCCATTTTCTTTAAATTCTTAGCCTCCAAAATAACAACGGTCAGTTTTCCAGCGGTTGGTACATAACGCAGAGAGAAACAAATATCTCCCAGCTTGTTATCCTAAAAAACACGTAAACAGAACACATGAATTACAATTAATAAATATTGTTTTGTTAATACCTCAAAATTATTGTGATTCACTCTGAAAATACAGAAATCCCCAGACTGTAGTGCATATTGTTTCAACAAGATGTTCACTTGTGTCTTTTTTAACAGGGTGTTGGAATGTGAATAGTATGGATTATTAGTGGGATATTTGTGTAAGGAACGTTGTATTGAAGACGGGTCTGATAAGCAGTTTATAAAATATACAAATAATATAGGGTCTTATAAAACGCGGCTTAGGGCGGATCAGGGTTGTTTCTCAAACGAAAACAATGTAAATATAACAAAACAATAGCTCCGTGTATTTCCTAGAAGCATATTATGGGAATTAGTCAAACGACAGAGCTGAACTGTGTTCATATGAAGATTTTATTGTATTTTTTCTTTGTAAATCCTTTAAAAACATATACTAATATATGTTTATGTACAACTGATCAGCTTTGTCGTAATGTGCTTATGATGCCACAGCACGTAGACTGAAGGAATGGGAGGCCTCAAACAGAATAGACTTTGCAACTATTTAGGTCATTTAACAACCACTTCCATTGCGTTACATATAACGTTTTAGCACATAGATGACATATCATCTAAACATTTAACACGGTACATATATTTGTAACATAACTCTATAGGACGGGGTAAACAAAAACCAAATAAATAAATTTCACATCAAACCTACATTTATAAAGCATTTATCCGATGTTATATATATTAGTAACAAAATAAGGTATTCATTACGATCTGTTGCCGAAATGATGCCAATTTTATGTTTTGTAACACCCAGCTCAGATCACCAAAGCATTATGCTCAGTAGCTCACCTTCCGATGTACCTATATATAACCTTTGAAATATGAAGAACCCTATTAGGTTTCGTAAATTATTCTTGCCTGAAATAACCTAGAAGACTCTAACCATTTTAGAAACAGATCGCAATTATCTAAAGTCATAAACATTTAGATAATTCACACATAAATACTAAAATAAAATACTAATTAGGTATAGGTATATATCCATAAAGAAATGCTCTATTTTGTCCAACTAAATAATTGAAAATTTGATCATGTGATCATAATTTGTCAATTTCTTTATGAATACGTGTTATAATTGCATTAGAATACATACATTCCGAAGAGTACACGCCACATATAGAATACAGCATCGCACTATGAAACTTGGACAGATAAGGAGTGTAAGAATTAATAGCGGTGAATGGAATTCTAAATTGTGTTTGTAGTGAAAAAAAAACTAAGTTCATAGTTTTTAAATCTAATAAATTCTGAGGTATAATGTTCTTTTAGATAGTAAATGCGTAATAGTTTTAGAGTTATCTGAAAACTATGAGCAAAGTTGTTAAATTAATATTGTTGTATTCTACTAATTGATAACAAATCTGTATTGAAGTAAGTATCTAAAATCTCTTTAAGCTTTTTTTTGTTTAGTAAAGGATTTTTATTGCTGGTTTATAAAATTTTCTTAGCTTTTGGATGCAAAGAAATGGGAGCGTAGAAAGATAAAAATCTGTTTATTTTCAGTCTCCATTTGATGTTTAAATCTGAAATATATTATCTTAATAATTAATATATTATGTAACTTGAAAATAAAATATGCATATTATTTTGTAAATCGTCAATACAATGTTTTGTAAATCTGCGGCAAAGATTATGATGGAGTGAAATTGCTATACGTATATTATAATAATACAATAAGTTATATTGCCAATAATACTAACACATATATATTTTGTTCTTGAACTGTTTCTTTCTTGTATTATATTAAATTTTTTATAGATATATTAAAACTAAATTTAAAAGACAATTCAGGAACAAATCAAGCATAACAGTACGAGCATGCAACATTCCCCAGCCGCTATATAAATTAAATTAAGTGTCGGATGGATGAAATTAATATTAAAAAACAAAATAATATGTGGTATGATGGGTGATATTAGGTAACGGGTGAATAATTTGACATTTCCTGGATACATTTCTTCATGTCTCCTACCTATTAAATGATTTGCCGACCCATAATGTATATATTTTTCGATTTCGGCCAATTCATTAGAATTCACTCTTTAAAAACTATTTGCTTTTGAAAATAATTCAAAATATACATCTTGATGTGTCTCAAAAAAATACTTACGTGAATGATCATTTCGTTTTTGAAGCGGCATGCAAGATTGTTCAGGACACAATCAAACACAGCCAAGCAGAGCAGAGAAAATATGTAGAAAAAGAGAAAAAAACAAGTAAATACATTTTTTGCTGTTTAAATTAATAGTTTTTTTTTCCAAATAAAACAAATGACGAGTCAATCCATGTCGAGGTGCCTTGACTCCGATACGAAACATTTCAAATATTACATAGTATAGATGTTTATACGTACCGTGAAGTAACATAGTTTTGTCAAGGATCCTCTTATCAAAAAGTGCAGTAAACTTGAAAATAATATCCACCCTCTCAATAAAATTAATAACGAACACCTATATAAAAATATATATGTACCATACTCATTGTGAATGCAATGAGAATGTGTTATGTACAATCAAAAAAATATATGAGCTATGAAATCTCCTTAATTTTATTAAAAGGATAGGAAAAATATATTGCTGTGCTAGCAAACCACACCCTCATACGATATGTAAAATAAACCAGTATCGGGTGTGTTTAGCCAGTGGAGCCTAAGCTAAGAAAAAAATATATAAATAATTATTTCCAATTGACACTTGCGTTACCTACATTGTATGTATACTTTTATAAAACAAAGCAAAGTCACTATAGCCGAATACGGCTTGGGTAGATATATGTATACTTTCTTGCTTCTTGTATTAAATGCTTTATTGTGCATTCATGGGAGTTATGTTCGTATACCATATGTACCTAAATGAGGATGTGTGTATCGAAATGGACTGTTGATGTGACCTGGGTGTAACTGTTACTTCAATGTAATTATTCACCAATTATGATTTTCGCAACATACCTAAACTTCTCTCTGACGTTATCCTATCTCTAAATATAACAAAAACGATAAACAACAAGTTCTAGTAACTAATACCATTTAACCGCGCCAAGCGTAGCGTATATTAATGAAGATCGCTGAAAAGTAAACTTTACAATTATATGCCTATAAAATATTTCATCTTTGAACATTTCATACGAACGTAAGTCAGTATTCCATTATTATAATTCTTTAATCCCCTTTGGGTCCTTTTTATTCCATTATTTTGTACTTCATCCATGTGGCATTTCAAAGTTACATATTCGATAGAATAACTGCCGAACTGTAAATATGTATATTCGCACCTGTCCTCCTTCACCCTCAACACTCTGCAACTCGCGCCACTCCTCAATGGTCTGCGCGAGGTCCACCTGACACAGAGGTACCTTCACCTCCCCGATCTGGTCGTGCTTGGAGAATCGATCAAAGTCGAAGATAGCGAACACGAGAGTTTTGTTCATCGCGTCAGCATACGGCACGCTCTGCACAGAAGTAATTTTAAAATATTTTCCATCACAGTTCTGATATATCAGATTTTGATAACAATTAAACAACTTGCCTTGAAAACGAACGTCTCGTTGAATACCGGGTTCAAAGTTTTTCTATGTACTTTGGTTTCAAACTTCTTCTTCTTGTCTGGCAAGAGGTAAACTTTTACGTAAGGATCAGATGTTCCTCCCATATCCAAAGCCGGTAGCTCTTCCGCTTGTATAACAGTGACTGACAGACTGTTACTGTTGAAGTCATATTCAAGCTGTGAACGGACAACATTATACAAGACTTCATAATTATGACTAAACTATTAACAACGAAAAATAGGTAAATGGGTAACTAGTTTCTACATAAATAAAGAATCTACAAAATCATATTAATAAATGGGTGAGATAAAAACAATGGAAATGATTTAATGGTATACAACATCGAGAAAGTAATATTAGGGGTACTTGTTTAAGAAGAACAGGTCTTTAGGTCAGGCCGTTTCCCTGTGTGCACCACATTCTTGGTTCCGTAACCTACCTTGTACTGTAGTTTTCCTAATTTCTGTTCCTCTTTCTTCTCTTCTCCGTCATCAGGTTCCTCAGCGTTCTCTGTGAGCTCCTCCATGTCCGGCTGAACCTACATGCACGTCCCGCGGCAAATTTCACATGAATACAACATTTCTTATCAATACGAAGAAAGAGTCTCAAAAGGCCAATCAATTACGCTCTTGTGTGATTTCTTCTTCTGCTTTCATTAAAGATTATTCTATTCGAATTGTTTTCTTATAATAATTATTCAAATAACAAACATAATTATAGATCTTCTAAAGTTTTGTTTTCTCAATCTTCTCATAATAAACAATACATTACCTTTTCTTTGTAAGCTGAACCTAATAGTTGGACGGACTTGAAGTCGACTCCTTTCATGCCTTTCTTCCCATCCTTGGATCGTCGTTTGCGGAAACATCGCCGAATGCAACAGAAGCAAATACCGAGCACCACAACAGCCACACCTTACGAACGATACGATTATAAATATAACTAGGTTTAATTTGTTTCTCACATTATATTTTCCTCTATTTGGTTTTTAAAAAGTTTTTTAAAAAGAACGAAAATAGTAACTGTTGTTTAACTTCTAAGCTCTTTTTTAAGTGCTCAGAAAGCATTTATTACTGTGTTTAGGTAATAAAAACATTTTACTCACCGACAAGAATAGCTACTAACTGCCATGTCTCCATATTCATCTTGTGGGCGATTTCAGCGGTCTTTTCAACAATCGACTCCTGGGTAGTGGTTGCAGGAGGCGGCATCTCTGATGAACCACTCGGATTCGTAGAGGTCACTGTAAATAACGAAGAAGTGTTATAAAGAAATAACCGAATAAATATTATTTATAACTGAAATTAGTATATTACCAGGATTCGACGATGTTAATGCGGGCGATGGTGTAGTGCCATTTGCGGCAGGTTTTTCGGAAGTAACTTCCGCATCGCGCCGCCATCGCAGCTGCGTTGATAGAACTGGCGACATCTTTGCTATAAAATAAATACAATTTTAGAACAAAATTGTTGCATTAAAAAGCAATAAACTTTATATGGAATTATAAAACTTATTTGTTTTATAACTTTGAAACAAAACAGGGTACTGTTTGACAATTTGTAGTAGACTCACAATTACGCTGTTAAGACGTAGCAGTTGTAAGACTTCACTGTTGTTTTGTTTGAAGTCTAATGTATACATAAATACTGACTATAGCGTCAACTTAGGGTTAAAATAATATTTTTCTCACTTAGTCTAATGAAATTATAGTTATATAACTTAGATGGAGATCTTGGTACGAGTGTTAAATAACGTATTGCTTAAATAGCCGTTAATGAGACGGTAAGATGTAAGATGCATTTATAATTCTATTAAACAGATAGTTGCAGGAGTATTTACAAACTGGGTTGAAGATTATGTAACTCAATATTTTCATGCGGGCTTAGAATATGCTTGACATAAAAACACGTCTTTCATAAGAATTTATTCACAGTTAAAACTGTTATGCTCAAAATGTTTAAAGTTCTATTAGAAACTACACCAAGTTCAGAGAAAAGTTAGTAATCTCTTGAGTTTAGATAGAGTACGAATAAATTGAAAATAATAAACTGTATGGAAAATAAAATATTTACTAAATGTGTCAAGAAAAGGCTTTAATTATGGTGTTTTCGTTATTTTTAAATACTTTATTTATTAATGACATCTTTATTTTAGATTATTTAAATACTTTTGTAATTTTAAATTCGACATGGAAAAAATATTTAAGTAATTTTCTCAATTTTCGAATCTCATCTGATAATACAGCAGTAAACCTGTCTCTTTATCCACAAATTCTTCTTAATAAGCTTGACACGCCCATTATTGATTAATTTATTAAAAGTCAACTTTATTTTTTTAATAAAATCTTTTTAAAATAGATTTTTAGGTCAATTCAAAACTTATATATTAAATTATGGTGAATGTCAGAAGACACTAGAGTGTAATGGTTTTTCCTTTTCTATAATAAAAAATAATATTATTTATATTAAACAAATTATGTCATTTCCAATTATATAAAGGAAAAGAAATATATTTCTTATTGATTTGTAACTGAAAAAGCGATGCCTTATCTCAATGTCGTTTTATTAGGCCCCAGATATTTCTACCGCCCACACACTGTAAAATGTCAATTATAATGATGTATAATTTCCAGAAATAATGGAAAAAATATAACGCAAATCAAAAGTCCTCCGTCTTCAAAGAACATGGTAGCAGAAGCTTTTATGAGAGGGCACTTGAGTGCATACTTACCTATATTCTGCTTAGGCCCCCTTTCAAAGAGTAAGCCAACACAAGGAATTCATATAACGGTATAAGATACAAAAAAGGTTGTATATAAGTAACTCAGATGCCTACATCTTCCACACTGACCTTGTTTGCTCCCCGGCGATTTGTTCCCCAGTTGTAATTATAAGTTCTTAAATCAGCAGTCACTAGCACGAGTTTGCTTCATTTCTGTCGAATTTAATATTCGAATGGAGGCTCGGTTCTGTACTGAAGCTAGGATGGCAGGGGTGCGCGCGCAAGCGATCGATTGCCGCTGCGCGATGCGAGCCGATCAAGCTTCGGTATGTGACGTTTACGTCATGCATTGCGTACATTGACGAGTTTTCAAACTGAGCTAATACTTTGAATGAACCAGGGCCAGAATTCGCAATGGGAATATTTGACATCAACAAATGTAAAAAAAAACTATAATTTTAAGAAATATTCAGCATGAAAACATTCACGCTATTTAATGTTTTGGTGCATTCTTATTCTTTTGACAAATGAGACTAATGTTTTATATAGACAAGTGTAACAATTCGATTTCTACTACACAATTAAAAAGGTACTTCAATCTTTAATAACCTTCATTATTTATTTGTACGACATACAATATACAGAAACATTTCTTTATAAAATTTTATAACGCTTATAAAAACAAGGATCAATGAAATTTTAAAAATAAATATTTATCTATTTTCCAATAAACTTTTATTTCTTTCTTCTTGGAGATTTAATCTACATATTTCGTTTATCATTAATAGAAATATTTTTTTGTAATTAGAAGGTTTATCTTAACCTTAATAAATAGATCTATATAAACCTACGTCACTATCTAATGACGGCTCTAATCTACACAGTACATTCTTTATATAGCACATTATTTCAATAGCGGGAACATTAAGTTCCTTTGTCCTTTAATTACTGTTTAGTTATTAACGATCTGGTAATGTACTGACCTAACATTCATAGATATCTATTCACAACAAGCTATTCCTAGCCATGCCATTTGACCTATAAAACCTGTATTTATGAAAAATTCCCTCCAGCTTTAGTTCCTTTCTTTAATGTAAAACCAGTTTGCGAATTTAAAACTCTTTGCCTTTTTATATATAAAATTCTATAAATATAATAAAAGACATTTTCTTTATAGTTTTATTTAAATTCTTACTGGATAAGAAATTGTAAGTAATATTGTGTAATTCTACATTTTTGAGCACGTGTTTCAAAGCTAAAGGAAGTAGCTTTCAGTTTCTATTTACCAAATGCTTAAACTCGTAAACGCGTGCGTGCGTAAACAATGAAGAATTTTACATTTTATAGATTATTCTATTATTCAACAGATTAAAAATACAAGAATACAGATGGATGGATAAAAATTTGACTAAAATATTTTTGTATATATAAGTAATTTGCATGTAGCAATAAAATTTTTGACATTAAAGCAACCTTGACCTGATTTTTACATAAAAATTTAATAAGACAATTTAAGATCTGAATCTACAGAATATGACGTTTTAGTTGCTTCGAGAATTAATAGTTAAAGTAACACAACGACTTTATCGTAGTATATTTAATGGTATGTAAGATTTCGCGTGGAGATTATTAAAATGAAACACTTTTTTTTCGGATACTATTACTTTATTTCTATATGTTCTTTTTATAATATGTCTAAAAGTTCCCGACGTTTCGATTACTTTTCAGAAACTGTGAAAATAGGCAGACGAGATAAAAGTGTCATAATTTCATCCCGTCTGCCCGTGATGACGGTTGCTGAAAAGTAATCGAAACGTCGGGAACATGTAGATATAAAATAAAAAGAACGCGTAATGTCTAAAAAACTTAGTTTCCTTTCATTGTATATTCTCTAATTTAACTTTAATACGTTGGATAAAGCAAAATACTTAATAAATAAACTAAAAGTCGAAGGACTTTTTACATATGAAAAACGTTTCTTTATATTTTAAGAAATTCCGATGTTCTATTACAACTATTGTAGACTTGAGAAATTAAGCATTATGATAATCGAAAAACGTAAACGAATTAACGAAATCTCCACAAAACTGTTGTTACAAAATTAAAATCACTGTATTTTTAAGCAAATAAAATGTTATTTTACATAAATACTTTAAAATTAATTCCTTAATCTTTGTCATTAATAATTTATGAAGGATTAATTATCTTGTGCCTAAGAAACATTGAAAGAGATAAATGTATAATACATACAATACATATTTAGTTGAACATTTCAAATCTTAACTTTAACTAACCCTCTCTTATTGTGATTAATGTTTTAGCTTGCTCTATTTATGATAATTTTATTAATATATCTTGTTTCTCACTAAGTACCAAAAATATTTATTAACTCCCGGTATCTTCATTTATATGGGCTCACTAATAATTTACTTCCTTCTTCCACAACGTTGCATAACAAATTGATTTCTGGGTACCTCCCCCGCATATCTTAAGGGCTAAATGACGTAAGAGATCTAAACTAAATAGAATATTTAGAGATGGAATGAAATGTAGGCCTTTCTCTATTTTATATCTTAAGTTGGTCATTCTTCTACGAAAGAATTGGAACTATGTTCTGAATAACCCCAAGCGATGAACAGTTTGTATAATCTGTGGAGTCTTTTTTGACATTTTTGTCGTAAAATTACAGAGTGTCAAGTAGGTAATAGAGACTTTTGAAAAGTAAAAGAAGATTAGCCATTATAAATTATTTCTATATTTTCTGACGTAAGTATTTGTTAAAATGTATTTAAAGTCAATACAGGTCACTAAACCACTTAGCTGAGATGGAAATGGTAACAAAGCAGTGTTGCATCGAGTAGACCTGATTATACTAGAGTAGAATTAGTCTATTACGAGACAATAGACCCATCACTATTCATTTGAAGAAAACAGTATCTCTTAACTGAAAATTCTCATAAGTATACTCTGAAACCTGAGTCAGTAAGATGTGTTTATATTAAAAATTCTATTTTTAATCAAAAAAATATAAATCTGTAATTTTTGTAAATGTATTCGTTAAACTGTCAAAAAAGTAGACCTGAAAAGGTTTTGGAGATAGAAGTGATTTTTTTTATGTACAGCCAAATATTACTACGAGCACTAAAACCTTCTTCGTCCTTTTATAAGTGGGGCTTAGTGCCTATCGAAGAAAGAATAAAAGAACAAAAGGAAATCTACTGACTAAATCAAGATTTATTGGCAACGTGACCATTAATTGCAAACGATAGTTAATGTTTGTAACAGTACAAAAATAAATGAGAGAATTAAACATAAGATTTGTTTGTTTTTTCATACACCCTGTATATAGTTTTTTAAGTTGATGGTATTAAAGACCATAAACTTGAATCATTATTTTCAATGTCTCCATAAAATTGTTTGTCAAAATTTACCTTTTCCGCATAAAGAAAATAGGAATTGTATTAACGTTTGTCATTTTTGAAGTAGCAATCATACGAACTGTTGGCGGTTTTTGTGACAGTTGAAAAATTACATATTTCTCACACGGAATATTTTCTAACGCTTTTCTCTGGCGTTCAGAGAAAATATTTCTTAGAAGAAATTTTAAAGATGTCATTTCAGTGGCATATATCTCACACGTACTTTATTTTAAATCTTTACATCGATTATTATGTTGTCAAGATATTTTTGATTTCATATAGCCGATATTC